GACCCGCAAGGACTGGAACGTCGCTAGATTTATTGTACTTTTAGCCGTAAACTTGAAAAAAATAGCTAAACTTTTAGAGGAAATTATAAAAAATTAATTTAAGAATATTTTTTTAAAAGAACAATAAATGACAACATAACTCAATACAAAAGAAACTAATTTCTAATGTCTTTAGGTGACATCCATGCATAAAAACATTTTTTGTTACGTGAAATTCTAGGCAATAATTTAAAAATAAATGTTATTGTTTGACTTCCCATTTTTGCCCAGTAAATTTTAAAGTAAACTCGTTTACATAGTAATCTAAGTCGAAATTTCACGAAACTTTAAGAGAAAGTAGGGAACTTTTCATAATATAACATATCCAAAATTTAGCTTTCGTCGGTGACATATGAGATGTTAAAATATTGTTCAAAATCTCGCAGAGACTCGATTTGGGATGTAACCCAGCGCATCATACTTAAGGTGGCATATAAAATTTCATAGATATTGGATTGACATGATTTTGAGTTTATTTAGTAGCTAATCCATGAGACTATTAAATTCCACTGGTTTTGTCCAAAAATCCGAAGTAACGATTGAGTTACGAATTTTTAAGTTTAATGATAGAAATTGGAATTTTCAGAAAATAGTAACACTATGTTTACTTAAAGTGACATATAAAATTTTACCAACATCGGATTGATATGATTCCAAGTGTATTTAGTAGCTAACTTATGAGGCTATCAAACACCATTAGCTTTGATAAAAAATTAGAAGTAACAAATTAGTTATGAATTTTTAAAATCTGAGCAGAAATTGAAATCTCTAATAAAACAGTAACATTAAATAGTTGACATTTTTTTTTTTGTAGACGGTGTTTCGTAAGTAAATTCTAGACCACATATATATTTTTAAACATAACCTATTAATAATAAAATGTTCATAGAAATATTTTCATATACGATGTCCATAGAAAAGTAATTAATAGGAAACGCAAATATTTCATAATCAATTTAAAGTTGTTAATTCACCGACTTTTCCATGTCAAATTGCATCTTCAACCACCATCATCCGCGTCCCCAACAAAAGAACAAAATCAACTTGTAAGAAGAGATTTAATCCATGAGTTTGAAACTCAATAGATATCATCGGTGCATTTTGTAATCAAATTAGAAAATTCAAACCATGGATTCATACCATCGCACGTAGATGGATTTTCAGCAAAATCCGATATCTATAGCATTATTATAACACATAGAGCCAGAGAATGATCATTCAAACTATAGTGTGTCGAAGCACCATAGCCGAAGGTACCATTTCATTCAACTTTTAACGAAAAATCAAATTTGAAAACGAAATAACACTTGCACCTCAACCTACCTTCGTTTGATACTTTTGAATCGATGAAGTTGGTTGGTGAATGTTGTTTCTCGATGGAATCTAAAGCTTTTCCTTTCTTTTTTTGAAAATCTTTTTCTTGATCAAAGTTGCACCCCTTTTTTTGTGAAACTTGTATAGAAAGATATGTATGAAATGGAATAGGAATAATTTGGAGAAAATGAAAAGTCTACACTTTATTTGTCTTTAAAAAAAATGGTGGAATCACCTAAGGAATCGAGAGTAAAGTGCAATTACATTTCCATTAACTATTTGGCTATTTTATATCACATATAATATAAATTAAAGGAATGTGAATAGCTTGAAGAAGACGAAAAATCAGTCCCAATTTCAAGACAAAAACGTTGGCAGCATTTAACAATCAAAGTTGCCTTTTCATTTCCACTCAATTTAAAAGAACTTGAATACATTTTAAAACAAAGAGTTTAAGTTGCATAACATATTATCACATGTGTGTGTAGTGTTGGGATTTAAATGACTTGTCTATATCAACTAATTAGATTAATTGTTTGACTATTCAATCTAAAGTTATTTTTTAACATGTAGTTGTTATGTGTGTGTGTATATAATAATATATATTTGTCATTTTAAAAAAATAACATGTATGCAAATCAATTTTATATTTTTTTTCCTATACATAAAATAAATTTTCACCGTCCGGTCCAATTTTTGGGAAAAAACATTAAAATATACCGTTCAATTTCATCAAATAATTTTTAAAAATATGTATGGTGGCTGAACCTGGGTTGCGTGTTGACCACCATAAGATTGTAAATAAATTCATTTTAAAACATATTGGACTAATATTGAGCTTTCACTTCTTATGTGGGTCGAGCATAAGGTTCGTCTATAGGCTAGGCTCCTGATGCTAGATCGTCACATTCAAATATGAGCCTAATTTCATTTTATTTTTCGGGCTTCTACATGCTATACCCAAACCATACTACTTATTTATTCCTAAACCAAATTTAGCACAATTTGGGGAGATCCTACTGTTGTAGAAAAATACGGATGTGAATGTGGGTTCCTTGTGTGAAAAAGTTTGTGTGAATTATCTTAAATTAATAGGATAAAATTGGGTGAAAGTCTTAAATTGGAGGTCGGTTTGCTTGAATGTGTGTGTGATAAGGGGCATTGCACTAATCAAGGCATATATTTTGAAATTTGAAATTTCTCTTCGGAGCTTTTAGGACTCGAGCAATTAAGCCTGCAAGGGTATCTTAAAATCTGGTGCTCTAAAATCGTTTGATTTGGAAGTCATCGACCTAAAGCTCGTTACAGAGGTCATTTAAAAGCAATCAGAGGTGAATTTATCCCAAAAAATTGTTCTCTTCGAAGCCTTTTTGACTCGGGTTATTAAGCCTGTAAGGATATTTTAAAACTTGGTGCCCTAAAGTCATTTGATTTGGGAGTCATTGTCTAAATCCTGCTACATGAGTCATCTAAGCTTAAAGGAGAGTGCAAAAATATAAAAAAAAAAAAAAAGCATTAAATGCCTTGTAAGTCTCAACACTTGTTCGAGAGAATTTGACTCTCGATAAAGGATAATAAGCCTAATTGAATCTTGACGGTCGAAGCAATCAAATAAATTGAGAATTCTTGTTCATTGATGTGATGACTTGCAACTAGTGATGTCCACTTGAATTGGAGAGGGTGAGGATAGTAATGAGAAATTCAATTTTAGATCACACGCTAGGAAAGGATAGAAAAGAATAAGTTTAGGGGTGTGTGAATCTTACGAGAGATAAAAGGATATATTTGACCATAGAGGGTCGGGAATTGGAACAACTTGTGAATTAATTAATGTCAACTTAGTACTTCACACTGACACGAATGTTTTGCATTGGAAAAGTAGATATTAGTTTGGTATTGTCATTTCGAAGCAGTTTGTAGATTTAATACTCTGATTTCAAATCCTAAGGTAAAAGGCTAAACGGTCCAACCAATTATTTTTGCATGCTTGAATGTTTATTGTTATTTAGGTTATAGTTTTGTTCGAGGACAAACAAATGATTAAGTTTGAGGGTATTTGATGAGTGTGATTTGTGTACTTATTTAGCCCATTTTATTAAACCTTTATGTCGTGAAATTATTGAAGTTTATTTAATTTAGATTAATCTTTGTTCGTTTCAGTGTTCGACCCGTTTTGAAGCAATTGAAAAAGAAAAGGATAAATTGACGATTAAATAGAAGTTGTGGACCAAACCTCATACTTTAAAAGTTGAGGACTTGAAGAAAAATAATTTATTAATGGGCCTCAATTGAACCATGAATTGGAGTCAAAATATATAATTGGCTAGACTTGGACTCCAAAAAAAAAAGGAGGGCTGCTTTCTGCTGTAATATATATACATACACGCATATTGGCAGCCGGGGGGAAATTTTTGGAGTAAAAAGGAGAGTTGGCTGCTGGAGATATACATATACACATAACCAAGCAAAAAGAGGCAGAGATACAAGTGGCAGGCGACTGCAATTGGGAGTTCTAGTGTTAAAAAAAAATTGGGAAGCTAATTTCCTAAAGATATATAGACGCATACCGCCAATAGTGGACGGCAATTCGGGGACTCCTAATCACACAAAAGAAAACAATTGCAGGCTACGTGAAATATTATACATATAGGCTGCCACCTTGGGGGGATTGATTTTAAATACATTAAAGAAGACGGCTGGAGGGAGAAATCGATGCCTACTCACGGCAATTGGGCAGCAGCTTCAAGGATAAATTGCAATCAAAACATTCTGGCAAATATGAAGACAGCAACCGCAAGAAAGACACGGATTATTGGATTATAATTGGAGTTAAACAATAATATGTTAAGCTAATTCGTTTCATGTATTGGATGGATGACAAAATTATTTAATTCTTAGTTTTTAATTCGAGACCTATGTTTTTATGTTAATTCTTACGTTGTGATTCCATTAATATGCCTATTTATATTATTTTAATGTTTGCGCACCATTAGGACAATAAGTTGCTTATTTGTTGTGTTGGAAAACTTATGGTAGGTAGAACACCGTTGATGGAATATACAGGCAATAAATAATATTTGTGGTGTGTGCGATCTTATGTGATAATTCTAAATGTAAATGTATGTTTGCCATATAAATTCGGACTAGGAATATGATCGTCTCGTGATAAACATATGTTTATTATATCTTGGAAAAGAATAATAAATAAAAGTGGAATTATCGATCGTCGCAATTGCATGAATTAAGATAATTATTACTGGTTGAAAATTAGAACTAAGAATTGATCAATGACGTCGAAAATTCAATACGTTCACACGCTTGATTGTTTTTAAAAACCAATTTTCATTGATTTCATAAATTTTAGTTATAAAAAAAAAAGTAGTTAATTATTCATCAATCGTCTTTCGGTTATAAACACGAATTTAAATATATCAAATATACTAGAATTAATCCTTATTCCCTGTAGGACGATAACTCTCTCATCACGATTATTAATTGTACAACGAATCCGTACGCTTACGAAAATTTGACGAACAATGTGTTAAGATTAAGGTTAGAGTGTTAGAGGAAAGATGGAGTTGGGCTTTTTCTCCAACCATCATTGTATTAGAAGCAAGGAAATGTTATTTGTACACCAGGTGTGTTAAGTAGCATAACCTAAGAAGTATTAATCGTGTTTGGAGATGAAATAGTGTAGGTGATTAATTTAGTGAGAAAATTACTCTGATGATTAATTTGAAATTTCTTACAAACTTCAGGGACGATCGGTGAAATTAACTCTAATCCCGTATATTAAAAACTGCTTCGCCCGGCGGCGGATTCTATGCCACCGCAAATGGCAACTCTAGCAGCGACACAAAATGCCAACATACTCCGTTTAGTTGTTTCCTGTAGAAAGATCACGGCTCAAGTTACAAACCCTAACACGCACTCTATCGTAGCCATGGCTTCATCCACCGAACAAGAGTTTGCCGCCCAGTACAGGGCCAAGCTCAACCGCTTCCCACGCTCTCACAACTTTTGGGACTCCAAAATGGCTTCAAGGATCGGGGAGAAGATCGCGTTTCGTCTCAGAGAAATTGGAGTTTCGAGTCTCCAGATCGATGTACAAGAAGAGCTTTCTCGACCCATCCATCATCGCAAGATGGTTGGCCCACTATTTGAGTCCATTAAGCGTTCCGGAATCACCATTGCCGGTGCTGAAGATTTAATATTTCTGGGTTAATATTATAATTTTGAGGTATACTTCTCTACTGTGTTACTTTTTCGTATTTGAAACAAATAATACCTTTTTGAATCGAGAATATAAATGAAGAAGAGCGAGCAAGAACTTCCAGTGGCTATTCAAAGCTGAAATTATAATGTTGGGGCATATATATATTTATATGGAATTTTGATCAAAATGTTACTTATAAACCTGACATTTATTTCATTTGTCAAAACTCAGTAAAACAAATTGAGGTTAACGATATAGATTCGGCATTTTCATAAGAAAATCTAGAAAAACAACCCAAAATTTAGCTGCTCTTAATACTGAAAGATCGCAGCTGACTTTCCACATTGTACAGGAGGTAGCTATGGAAATTGTTAAGAGTAAATTTAGAATAGTATATCTTATGTGATGCATTCAAAGTTGTAATTGCACATTTTGGTAATAAAAGGGTGAGAGGGGGAAGATGTTTTTTGCCAACTTAGTTTGTTAGCTCATCCATTTCAAAGAATTTTCTTACTGTACAAGATTGCTTAAGAAGTATTGGTAATTGAAAGGTCTTGGCAAAATTTATTCCAACAACAGAAAGGTAGTTACCTAGCAGAGAAGTACATCCCAAGTTTGATTTCGTACAAAATTTGGATTGCCATATGAGGAATTGTCAACACAGATGCATGGATCAGCTAGGGAATGAGAACTACGATCATTTGGACTTCTACTTGGGAGTTTTCGTTGTCTACAAAATAAGTGATACCACCAGATTTTGTCTCCAAATAGGCAATAAATTGGTTTGGTGGTTGAGTGGCTTGGTGCCTAAGCTTGGCCAAACTAATCCTGAGAACCTTCTCAATTTGCTGACATTTGTTATTGGATATGTACTATTGGTTGCTACCATTTCGAAAGGGCTTGTATGAAATATTTTTGCCAATAAAAGAGAAAACTACACCTGTAAGATTGTATCTCTGAGATAGAAGGGTTTTATCTACTCTCTACAAAGCCTCTATGATGGAAACCGTGGCAATTAATAGAGTTTAATGCAGCCTTTCCTTTTCTTTTATATTTTTATAAAGATTGAAGTGGGATAGATATTAAATAGGTCTTGTAATAGTTTTTTCCTTTCTATTTGTTGCTTGGTTTGGTTTGTAAATCTACTTACTGGTCATATTTATTTGACATACTAGATTGAAGGATAGAATGAAGATTGAGAATTGACGGATGAGAATATTGTATGCTTGGAATTTTATCTGTTAGTTTTTCAGCTGATTGATATTGAAGGACAAGAGTGAGAGAGTGTAAAACTTTTAAGGAAGAATAGCAAAGTATTGGAGGAAGTCGTCAATTGTTTAGACCACGCATGTTGAGAAAATATATTAACGTTGCTAACATGGCATTGGGATTTCCTAAATCTTTTTCAGATTAGGGAGTAACTATCTTAAGATGTTCATGAATAAGTTAACTGAATAAATTCTAGATTGGGGAGGCATTGATGTAGGGTGAATAATAACAAGAAGAGATGGGGGAAGAGGGGAGAAAAAGAAGACAGAGGCGGGGGAAGAGAGGAAAACGGCTGCAAGCCAACTTTGTTATTCAATCAAATTCATCAACTGAAAAATAACAATGTAAATTAAATTTAAATACTGAAAAATACTGCAAACCTAGGGCTAAGTCCAATACACAAGTCCATAAAATTAAATTAACCTAATCCAACTAAAATAATTAAAACTGGACTGGGATGTCCTTATCAATTCTCCCGGGGTGGGAGAGAAAACTCGACCCTGTCGAGTGGCTATATCACCATAGGCATCCGTCAATCTCCCAACCATAGGCTGAGTGGCGGGCAAGCTTCTTCCGGCGTCTGTAGAAATGCGTCAGTGGCGGTCTGAACCTGGTGTGCTCACCAACTCCTCTCGGGTGGACGGGAGGCGATCTGGGCCAATGAAGATCATGCTGACTCCGATAAAACTCTAACAAATCTGGGTCCAATTGCTGGAGTGTCTCCCTGGAGATCCATGCACAGTCACAATCTGGTCGACCAATCCAACGAACAAGGAAGCGCTGAACCTCTCCATCATTAGTGAACACAGTTTCTTCATCTAAAATAATATCAATTTTTTCTTTGTGTGCTGTGAGAGGTGGTAGTGGGTTAGAAGGGGTCAAAGAATCAGGGTCAAGGTCCACAATAGGAGATGACAGAGGATCATCTGAGGGAATGAAATGACCTCTCTAAGCTACAAGGTCCTCAACATTGAAAGTAGAGTGGTAACTAAAGTGTGGTGGAATGTCAACAATAAATGCATTTGGACCAATCTGTTTTAAAATTTTAAAAGGACCAGCACTACGAGCTTGCAATTTAGAGGCGGGTCCATGTAGACGCCGCTCCGGCCTAATGCGAACCATAACGTAATCCCCAATGTTAAACTCAATATGTCGTTTGTGTAAATCAGCTTGGAGTTTATATTTTACATTACTAGCTTCAAGTTGTTTATTGATCTCAATATGCAAGTCACGAAGATGTTGTGCAAATGCTTTGGCCGATGCTGACACTCTAGCCTGTGGGGACATAGGGATGAGATCTAACGGTTTCCTAGGTTTGTACCCATGAACGGCTTCAAATGAACTCATACCTAGTGAACGATTTATAGAGCTATTGTACGCAATTTGAGCTACAGGAAGGATCAAATCCCAATTTCGAAGGTTTTCTCGGACCAGACAACGTAATATGTTACCAAGATTTCGATTAATTACTTCAGTTTGACCGTCAGTCTGAGGGTGGTAGGCCGTAGAAAATTTCAATTTGGTACCCATCCTGTGCCACAAAGTTCTCCAAAAATGGCTAGTGAAACGAACGTCCCTATCAGACACAATGGTCTTGGGAAGCCCATACAATTTGACAATTTCATTAAAGAATAACAGGGCAACCTTGGACGCATCCGACGTCTTGCTACAGGGGATAAAATGAGCCATCTTTGAGAAGCGATCGACAACCACAAAAATGGAGTCATGCTTCTTAGGGGTGCGTGGAAGTCCTAACACAAAATCCATACTAACATTGTGCCAAGGACAATTAGGGACAGGGAGAGGGGTGTATAGACTTGTGTTCTACTTCTTCTGCTTACTCAATTGACAAGTATTATAAGTACTAACAATCTTAGCCACGTCTTTCTTCAAGCTAGGCCAATAGAATTGACGTTCAACTTCCTCTATGGTCTTATCACATCCAAAATGACCGGCTAACCCTCCCGCATGAATTTCCCACACGATGAAATCTCGTACTGAAGTTCGAGGGATGCATAATTTATTAGCTCTAAAGAGGTAACCCTCCTCAAGTCGGAAGCCATCTGTGGTGCTTGATTGTCCTCTTTGTAAATCGAGGAAGATATCTTTAAAATCGGAACACGCCTCGTAATCCTCCTTAAGTCTTTCAAAACCGATGACCTTGACACTCATGATTGACAAAAGGGAGACACGACGACTTAACGCATCAGCTGCTTGGTTCTCTACGCCCTTCTTGTGTTTTAAAACAAATGAATAGGCCTGTAAATATTCAACCCAATGACCATGCCTAGAACTTAATCTTTTCTGGGAGTTGAGGTAACGGAGGGCCTCGTGATCTGAATAAAGGACAAATTCCTGGGGTAACAAATAGTGGCGCCAATAGCGCAAAGCCTGAACCACTGCATACAGTTCTTTATCATAAGTGGAGTACCGCTGTTTGGCCTCATTTAACTTCTCACTGAAATAGGCAACAGGGTGACGATCCTGACTTAAGACTCCGCCTATACCTACCCCGGAGACGTCACATTCAACTTCAAAGACTTTGGAAAAATCGGGTAGACGCATGACAGGGGCTTCCGTCATTCGCTTCTTGACTAACTTAAAAGCCTTAGCCGCCTCTCGTGTCCAATGAAACTCCCCTTTCTTCATGCACTCCGTAATAGGCGCCATAATAGTGCTAAACCCCTTAATAAAGCGACGGTAGAATGTAGCTAAGCCGTGAAAGCTTCTGACGCCATGGATAACTTTAGGCTCAGGTCAGTCAATAATCGCCTGAACCTTAGCAGGGTCAGCGGATACCCCTGTCGAAGAGACAATGAATCCCAGAAAAACAACTGTGTCGGTGAAGAAAGAGCACTTCTTGACATTCGCATATAGATTAGTTGCACGAAGGGTAGAGCAAACTTGCGTGAGGTGGTCAAGGTGTTGCTCCTTAGACTTACTATAGATGAGGATATCATCAAAGTAGACAACAAGAAACTTGCCCATGAAAGGTCGGAGAGTTTGTGTCATTACTCGCATAAAGGTACTTGGCGCATTACTCAGCCCAAAAGGCATGACTAGTCATTCATAAAGACCATCTTTCGTCTTAAACGCGGTCTTCCACTCATCACCTGGGCGAATTCGAATTTGATGGTATCCACTCTTCAAATCAATCTTCGAAAAGATTGTGGCACCAACCATCATATCTAACATATCGTCAAGTCTAGGAATTGGAAAACGATACTTCACCGTGATCCTATTGATCGCACGACTATCCACACACATTTGCTAATAGCCATCCTTTTTGGACGTCAATAGGGCGAGGACCGCACACGGGCTTAAACTCTCACGAATGAATCCCTTGTGAAGGAGATCGTCCACTTGCCTTTGAAGTTCAGCGTGCTCGGTAGGATTCATCCTATGATGAGGCAAATTTGGGAGGGATGCCCCTGGAACGAGGTCTATGGCATGTTGAATATCCCTCGGTGGAGGTAGATGATCAGGGAGGTCCTCTGGAAAGACGTCTCAAAACTCTTGGAGAACCGATAGGATTTCAACAGGGCTCTCTATTGCGGAGTGTGATGGGACCTCCATGACCACCAAAGCGAAGACAACTGAGTCACCAACAAATGTACGCTCAAACTCCGTAGGACTAATGATATGCAATCCTTTTCGTTCCACACTTTTCTTCGTTTCCAGTGGGCCAACGGGCTTTGGAGGCAGTGGGTTAAGGTGAATCTTCTTTCCATTAAACACGAAGGAGCAGGAATTGGATCGACCGTAGATGGAGACATCTAGGTCAAATAACCAAGGTCGTCCCAAGATGATGTGCCCGACGTCCATTGAAATGACGTCACATCATATATGGTCCTTATACTCAAGAAACTGGATAGGGACTAAACAACGCTCTTTGACAGCTATGGAGGAGGTATCAGCCCAAGAGACGCTGTATGGCTGAGGGTGAGGAACAGACTTCAACCCTAGACGGGATACAGTAGTCATCGAAACCGCATTAATGCAGCTGCCACTATCCACGATAACTTTACAGCCCTTATTATTAATCTTGATGTAAGTGTGGAAGATGGCATGACGGCGGCAATCATCGGCATCCCTTGGCTGGGTAAGAGTACAACGGACGACACCGACCCTAGGTGTATGTGGGATAAGGGGACTAGCCTGGATACAATCCAAGAAGGTATCTTCACTATCCTCCAAGTCATCGTACTCTTCTAACTTAGGCTCATACACCTGATCCTCTAGTGGCTCGTCAACTATACCTTCACGCTCTTCCAAAACTAGGGCTCGGCTAGGACACTTAGAAGCAATGTGACCAAAACCCTTACAGTTGAAGCATTGTAAACGAGAGGGCGTTCTTGAAACCTCAGAACCTCTACCTTTACTATCCGATGTAGGGGTAGGATTAGGAGGAGGAGGTCCTAGAATAGACTTAGGGGATAGAGCGGATGCAGAAGAGGTTGCAGTGCGGGAGTCACTACGACTTCTGTACGGTGTCCTAGTCACTAACTCGTAATCCCGAACGAAAGAGTAGGCGTGGTCAAGAGTGGTGACACCTCTAAGAACAAGCTCACGTCTAAGATCATCCCGTAGGCCTTGCCTAAACCTACTCAAAGTCATGATTTCGTCCTCAACGACCTGACATCTCATTCGAAACTCGTCAAACTGAGCAACATATTCGGTCACAGGTCGACTGCCTTGTATAAGTGCGTTCCATTGATCCAGCAAGTTGCCCCTGTAAGATTGAGGTAAATATTTTTCTTCAAGGCGACGCTTCATTTCATTCCAATTCCCAACAGGGGGAGCATGGCGCCTCTCTAGGAGGTCCTCAACGCTTTCCCAAAACAGTTGAGCTATGCCAGTCAATTTCAAACTGGCAAATTATACCCTTCGATCTTCAGGGACCCCATACCAGGCAAAGAAGCGATCCATATCCCTAACCCATTGATTGAATACACTAGGATCTAGACAATCATCAAATGAAAGGGCATTTAACTTAATATTTCGAAAGAGGCGCTCCTCGTGGCGGGGGGGGACAGTGTACCATGACGACGATATTCCCGCTCGCGCCCACGAGCTTGATTTCCTTCCCTACGATCATGTCTAGTATGGTGTCGACCACCTTGTGGACGACGATGAGGTCTATTAATGGAAGCGTCAGAATTTTCAGCCTCAGTTGAGTATTGGGTTGGGTCAAGAGTGTTTACCCTAGCGGTTAGGGCTCTATTCTCCTCGCGCGTAGCGGCTAACTCAGTTTGGACAGCCGTTAATTGATTTTGTAATTGTGCCAACTGTCGGGTGATGGCTTCAATGTGGGGAGGATCCATGGCAACGGTACTAGAGTTAGAGGCAGTAACGCGTCCACTACGCAATTGCATACACGGTAACACAAGCTAGGTGAAGTGTCTACTGAGATCAGCAACCAACGAGTGCTAGCAGGGAAAATAGTGATTGAAATTTATCCATTGTTATTATTATTATTTTATTTTATTGTAGGGATTACGTATGGCCCGATCGCAAGCTAATATTACTAATACCAATAAAATAACAAAACAAAGGTACAAATGCTAGGTCTAGTCACGTAGGGTAAACGAGTGAACAATGGGGTCGGCTCGTGAATTTCAATCCAATAGATTTAAGGCTAAATTATCCAAATATTAGCAACACAAAGAATTAAATGATGCAATTCTAAAATACAGTAACAGTGTCACTAAAAATAGATAGAAGCAGAGGCTTCCTGAGTTCAGTTGGCCTGAGTCGTCCTAGCGTCGAATGTCTCCACTTTCTGAACTGTTAAGCGCTAAGATGCGAAGATAGAAAATTCCGTGTTCGTCGAGAAAATAATGTACCTATAAAAGAATGTCAGGAAATTCTCAAAATTCAAGAATTTTTTTTTTTTTTGAATAATACAAAATCAGAACAACAAAATAATAAATGAGCCCATTTCACAAATTTGGGCCTAAATCACACTCAAAATCTCAATCAAGCCCAAGTCCAAGCAATAACTAATAAATCCAACCCGATTGAAATCAAGCCCAAGCCCAAGTGATACAAATAACCCAGCCCGATTGAAATTAAGTCCAAACGCAATTGATAATTAATAAACCAATTAAGCCCAAACCCAAGTGATACAAATAAACTAAGCCCAAACCCAATTGATACAAATAAACCCGCCCATTGATATCCGCTGCACGGCCTCTGGATGCACTGTCTGGCGGTGTCGTGGGAGTCGCGGTGCTGTGGGATGTTGGCTGGCTCGAAGGAGAGTCTCAATTACTTGGATTGCCGGCCTACTAGCAATCGACGGCTGAAAGATTGGTGAACTCCGGCTGGCTTGGGTGGTGCGTTTTCTGTTTTCGCACATCTGCCCCTATTGCCGTCAGAGTTCTAGCGACAGAGGATGTGAAGTTGTGGTGGCGGTTGAGAATTCGGTTGAATGGAGTTTGAGTTGGGGTTCGGCTGAATGGAGGTTTGGCGGTCGTGGGGGCTGCGTACTTGGTTGAGGTTTGTAATGGAATTTAAATTAATATGTGGGGGTCGGTTTGAGAAGATGACAGGAAGGACGTTTTTTTTATGGTTGGGTTTATAGCTCTTCTTCACATCCAGTGGTTGTGGCGTGTGGTAGATGCTTGGTAGTACTTTCTGTGAATATATTTTGCACGAGGGTTTTGCAGGCATGTGTTCAGTAGGTGGCTGTGAGTTATGGATTGCAGGCAGACGAATGAACAGCTATAATGTTTTTCCAAGTTTAGCGCTAATACCAATTTGATGTAGGGTGAATAATAATAAGAAGAGATGGGGGAAGAGGGGAGAAGAAGAAGACAGAGGCGGGGGAAGAGAGGAAAACGGCTGCAAGCCAACTTTATTATTCAATCAAATTCATCAACTGAAAAATAACAATGTAAAATAAGTTTAAATACTGGAAAATACTGCAAACCTAGGGCCAAGTCCAATACACAAGTCCATAAAATTAAATTAACCTAATCCAACTAAAATAATTAAAACTGCTAAAATAATTAAAACTGGACTGGGATGTCCTCATCAGGCATCCTCTTGATTTCTTACGTATATGAATTGCAGGGGGTTTAGGAATTTCACCTGTAACCTCCACCGCTCCATATAAACTCCACTCAATATGCAAATTATGAAATTACATTCAAGAAAATATGAAATTAGTTATTCTAGGAAAGCAATTGTTTCTACTTTCTATCCTCTGGATTGATTATTACTTTCTTTACCAGCACATCCAAATTGGTACATTCTAATCATTATTTGTTGACCATGATCTCGTGTTATTGATGAAGTAAGAAGCTTCTGTACTATCATTCAATAGACTGAAGTTTGTGTAACTGATGCGCTCACTCAACTCCTTATATCAACTGTAGTTTCTCTTGAACCAGTAGCAAGTTAAGTTTATTGTCTGAAGATGATTTATGTAATAATTTTTAAAAAATAATGAGAATCACAACTGAAGGGACACTCAATACCTATTATGCACTAGAAGTCCTTGAATGTTACCATTTCAAAGATTTGATCTATCTGAAAGTTAAAGCTATCATTTGATACAGCATATATTGGTTGTGTCATGCTACCTAACCAAAAAAATTAGCTCCCTGGGCCAGAATTTTCCCAAATAGTGATCAAGTAACTGTGAATATGTAACGAGACTTAATAATGAGGTATCTTACTCCATTCCTATGTATTATTTTGATTCAGCTTAACTGCTTCTCTTATTACTTTGTTCAACTGCTGACTGCATGTTCCTACTTTCTCCAATATAAATAGGAAGAGGATTGGCAACAGCAAAGCTGCACAAGAGAATGAGATGCTTGGAATCTGATGTGGCTGATCAACTTGGGAGGTGAGGTGAAGAGAAGGATAATGTTGATAAAATATGGCCGAAGAATGGGATTTTCAAGAAGTCTTACCTAAATCCTTATCATGTCTTACATTTAACATTCCTCAATCCCAAACCCGAGTCTTGAAATTTCTAGCATAAGAAGAGAGTTTTTATTTGCCTTTTGTAAATCTTAAGCAGTATTTTATTATCTTAATGCCTAGTGATAAAGCTGTTCGTGACATTGTTGGCATTTTAGCTTTGGTTGTTGTAGTTTGTGACTTGACTTCTATCTTTGCCGAATTACATTAAAATAATTGTTCTAATAATTATTAGTTATACTGCAGGACTAATCATTGACGTGAATTTTGTTTTAACTTTTTTTTTGTGGAACTTTCGTATGGTTGTTTTGCTAATTGGTGTACAGATGTTATAATTAATTAGTGAGGTTTTTTATACCACTGCATAGAGGAATTGGCTGCACTGCACTGAATAACCAATAGAAAGTAGTAGAAAGCAAAAGCTCGTTGGGTTATGCGATCAAATTCTAGTACCAGGTTCTGTGCTTGTGTGAGATCTCCAACTGTTTTATTAAAATGTCCATTAGAATATGCTTCCTTTAAATTGCGAGCGTTTCTCCCTTTTCAGCGATTTCTACTGCATATGTATCCCATAATTTTTGCAATGTAGTTCTTTAAAATTGATTAAAACTAAAATATTTGATGGAATTGACATCCAAAAGCCCAAAAATGTTTATGATGTTCTTGTATGATGCAATCGATAGAAGTAGATGGTGCTTTAAATGATCTTGACTGTATTTGTTCAGGCCGACAGGATAGTCAAAAAACTCAAAGCTTTTTTTGCCTTTCTTTCCCTTTCAATTTATTCTTCATTATCCTTGGCTCCACCAATATTACAAGATTCCAGCTTCATTCCTACACTATATCCACATCCCACAAATTGTGGTGAATTCACGCTGCAGGATTGCGCACTGTTCAGCCACCTTGTTATTTGGATTTGACCAGCCTGGATCCTTCGATCTCACTTATGTTTAGTTACAAGACGAATACTTAATTTTTTTTGGCACGTCCCATTTCATGAAATTTTGGTAAAATGAAATGTTTTTGTGATTTCTGTGTCCGGTTTTAGAATATTCAACTAGAGGTAACATCTCGTCTTCAGATTAATATCATAATTTTTTTAGGATATTCAGTCTTATTCTTGAATACTTTTTATTCGGATGAATCTTTGGCCACTGGTATTTGGTCAGCTTAGCATCGTAGAGCATATATATTCAAAATTACCATGGTAACTAGCCATGTTTTAATCAACATTTAATTTTCACTTAATTTTAATCTTGTAATCGACAAAATTATCTGTTCAGTTTGCCAATGAACCAAACACAGATTGCTGTTGCTGTAGAAGATCAAAGCAGTCCACAGACAGTCAGCGTCTGCTAAAACTTAAATTCGGCTCAGCCTTCGCTCGATTCGTTGATTATTGTGGAGTTGCAGCATATGGTTCTGAGGATGAGAATGAAATCTGGAAGTGAAGGCTCAGAAAACATTGGAACCCAATTCTCTAATGCCTACGTCTGTTTTCTCAAGAGCCCAGCTGAAGGAAAGGGCAGGGAATCCGTGCATCCATTTGTGGCTCTACAGAACTGTATCAAAGCAAATCCTGATGCATTTTCTGAGGACATTTTAGAGGATGATGAAGTTGAGAAAGAGGAAAAGCCAAGCCAGGAATACTCTATTAGGCCTCCTCTTTGGTCTATAGAATCAAAAACTGCAAACCACTATCGTACTGGGGAGATCCAAGGTCCCTTCACCAGTATTTCCCACTGGGTTAAATAACTTTTTAACATGCATAATGACTAGAAAAATTAATTTGTTATTGTAAGCAGCCTTTTCCCGGGAACAGCTTCATCTTTATTGAGCAAATAGATAGACCTTTTCAATCCAAAAAAGGAATCTAGCTGCTTTATTTTTGCATCTCATGTGTTGAAATGTTTTAACTGTTCAATTTGTGTTCTTGATGTATGGATGTATTCCACATTTCTTTATTATTTCCGTGTGTTCTCTATGAAAAGAACATCGTTGAAGACTCTTAAAAAACTTGTTTATGGGCACCCTAAACCATGAAAAATACACCAATGGATTTTTAACCACGGAATTGAAGCACTCACTACGAGCATTGCTGTAAATAATCTGACATTGCCCATTTTTGTTGGGAATATTGGTCAATTGTTGCATACTCAAGATGACGATCATATGAATGCAGTGGTAGAAACATTAATATACCTCAAAAGGATACTTGGAAATGGACCATCCATTCTCAAATAAGGGAAATTTGGAGATTAAAACCTACACAGATAGTAACTATAGCCTATGAGAAAAGCCCACAACCTCATATAGAAGGTTCACTTTTGATCATTATGCATTTATGGGATGCAAAGAAGCAAGAAACGTGTAAATTCATATTGCAAGAAAAGTTGATACCAGTCCATGATTCGCGAATATGTTACCTCCTATAGTCATAGGAGCACTAAAAATGGAATACAAGCAGCATGAGATGATTTACTGATAACGTGGACACTGAGAACCCTGTATAATATTATAGAATTAAGCACGTTTAAGGCAGATTGATATTCATCAAATGTCCCTTCCAGAATACAGTGAAACTAGCTGACCAAAGATTGCCTAAACAACAATTTTAGAGTAAACTAGGAAAGTTCTTCGAATCAGTTTAGGACTGGTTAGGAAAATGTTCTAAATTAGAGTAGCAAGACATTGCAGATCCTAGATAAGAAGCAAATTTCCTACAAAATTAAGTTGATATGTTTCTTAGTTAAGGTTTCTGCTCAACTTCCACAATATTTTCCCAGCCAAATAATCGCATCCAATCACTTACATGGTGCATTGATGTTTAGAGAGATCAAGAGGATATATGCCCCATAAACCTTAAAACCATGTTGAGATCCCAATTAATGAAGCAACAGATATTAACTTTCAGCTCCAAAATCTCATGCCAAGAAGGAAATCACTTCAACTTAGCCCCATAAACGAACTAATGTAAAGCACACAAGGAGATTCAGTAGATAAAACTACAAATCCAACATATTTTGTTTTAATTTACGCATGCAATGATATCAAGAAAATGAATAAACACTAAATACATAATAATTCAAGCAAACTCACCCATATATAATTTAACAGAACATGGTATAAATACTTTTAACATCTATGCTCTAGAATGAGGTGAAACACTCGTGATCGGAGGAATTTGAATCATCGCAAGGAGAATGGTTATGTCTACCTTCATAGGTTGTTATTACCATCCGACGATCCTCTGACAACCTTTCAACCCTTTTCTTGACCCGACAATTACTATGAGTACATCTGTAGTAACTCCTGCAAGAACACAACATGGAGAAATATTCAGTTTATCCTCTTGTTTAAATTGTCACCAATGAACTAGAACACAACACAGAGAAATCTTCAGTTTATCCTCTCATTTAAATTGTCACCAATGAACTTGTAAGTTGAAACAAGAAACAAAGGAGACGTAACGACTCAATAGAACTACTAGCGGAGATGGGTATCTTTACTAGTGCTACTTAGGAACCAATTTGAACGAGGGGAGAACTTTAGGTCCATTGCATGAATTTGAAGGGTGTCATAACATAAAAGGCCCCGTATCTTGTAAAAGTAAAAATATATTTTATGGGATGATTGAGACAACTAATTGCACTACTATGGTCGATCTAATTTATTTCTTTTCACTTCATGAAAAAAAAAAAACACACACACACACAAAAATTAAAAGATATTCATCCACAATTAGCCAGTTCTACATTGATACGTCTGAATTTTTCAAATATCTTACAAAATGGATGGATTTCAACCTTACTGAAGGTAGATCAAAACGTAAATCAGACTGATTAATTTAATGTGATGTCATAGAAAAGATAAAAATAATCTGATGTTATCAGCTCTAGCTGAAATATGAGAATTTCATTCTTGCTTATAATTAATATTTGATTAATTCTATTAATTCCAATTTTCTTTTTGTATGTTCTATTGGGAGGTTGGGTTGGGGATTGAGGGAACACTGACCATTCATTTATTTACGATAAGAAGATGAGAAGATGACGATTCCTTGATTATGCATCTTTAGACATGATTGAAATCTCTGGTTGGCACATTAATTTATATTTCTGATGTGATATTATACCTCATATAGCCTGTTTTAGGTTCAGAATGACGATAATAAAAATGACACAGCATAATTTCTTTTATCCTCTTTCTACAAAAAACTAAGAAGCTTGAACGTTCATATTTCAAGAGAGAGAAGGGAGAGCGAGAGAAATAGAGACAGAGATAGAGAAGCCAACATGACTGAAACAGTATCCTTCGAACATTCCTCACTACTTCCTAGAGCACTAGCTAGGGTAACAATTTATACATTCATTTCAGTATCAAAGCATTATTCGAATTTTCTCACATTGCAAACATAAATTCATGAAAATTGGAGTTTTGTTCCCCTTATTCATGCGAGACAAGTTTGGTAAATAGTACTAAATATGACCCGATAACAAAGAATGAGAATTTAAACGGATGCAGCAATAAGGTTTTAGGGGTAACAAGTACCTTGGATGAAGGCTGTTCTTGACTACCTTCTGGCCATATTTTCTCCATTTGTAACCATCATCAAGCACATCTACATCACTCCTTGTCTGAAAGCAGAATCTGGGCTCTCTTAGCTTTCTCCTCACTTTGACCTTGCCATTATTATCAGAAGATGGGATCTTCCACCTGAAATTTTCGGATTAATTTACCTGTCAACTATCCATTTATATATTTGGCAGCCTATTTATCTATTGGGATTTCAGTGATTAGCATACTCACACGCTATAAACTATAGTACTAATCAACATTAAGGGAAAAATAATCAATTTACCAGTATTATCACTTGTGGATTTTATTATTGAACGAGTACACAAAGATATAGTGGATCAAGCACTCGTCCTTCTCAGACTTCACTTGTTCATTACAGTACAAGTGCGCGAACATGATCCTGCACTAGATGTGCATGTACGCCTATATATTGAGAGAGAGGAGAGAGATTTCTCTGAGGAATCATCTCTTCCATATGCAGTAGATCTTTTTAGATTATGACCGAAAGATGGCCTTTTAGGGTTACTAACACACACAAAAACAGCCTATTTCAAACTTCCTTGGAACAAAAATCCTACAAAATGAAAAGCTACCACAAAACCTTTATTATAAGCTGGATCCCCTCAAGTTCTGAGAAGGACAATCAAAAAGATTTCTGGGTTCTGTGCATTTGTGGCTGAAGAGAGAGATATGTATACTTGACCCACTTGCTAGAAAGAAGAAGAGATTTAGAGAGAGGACTAAGATAGATTACCATGAATTGCCACCCTCGTCGGCGTTACCACTGCAATTCTCATCATTCACAGCCTTGAGATCTAGTGTTCCAACCTATATATTGTAGAAACCAATATTATACTCAAAACGAACCAACCCTTAACTTATAGAAAGATGCAATAGTAGTTTATAAATTAAGAAAGCATAATAAGAACTAAGAATTCAAAACTAATATTATTATTGGACCAACCCAACAACCTGGTCGTTATCCCACGAGGGTCTAGTGTTCAGAAGTTCATTATTATCTAACCCTACAAAACCTCTATTGCTGGTGGTGATGGTGGTTGGCTTAATGGAGAGGCCACCGCCGTCTAGAGGCTGAGATATTTGAGAAGATTGCAACGGTACCAAAAAGCTCATCATCTGATTCTGATCTTCAAACTGTATGAACCCCATTTCATGATGTAGAGGATGAGGAGCAACAGCAGGATAGGAAACTTGCAGCTGATCATAATTGGGTGGAAATCCTCTTTCCCCTTCCATTCTTCGAAATTTATCAAATAATTACTGGTAGTGGATTCAAGAAATTGCTGATGTTCTTCTTAGTGGAGGGATTTTATTGCATGTTGGTTGTACCACGTGTGGGGCGTTGTCTCAAGGCATCAATGGGTGAAAATAGTGTATTCTTTTCGGTCAACCGATAAACGCTGGCAGGAATATAATGCTGTGTTTTCATTTTTATTTTTATTTTTCCTTTTTTCTTATGTTTGTCTGGTCTGGACTTGGGAGTCTTGCTAAGCACAGTTAAAAGAGAGCAACAGCATGATGGTATTCCACGCATTATTATCTATTGAAGAGTTTTTCTAAGTCGATTTGTCCACCACCGACTAAAATAAAAACTTTAATTATTAAAGCGACGATATTCACCTGTTTATTGTATAACTTATATATATTTTTGACCAAGTATATATTTTATAAATACATTTTATAGAATTCACAATTATTATTTGCTTATTATAAGATTTTCGATGATCCACATTCAATTAAATTTTAATTTATGATTTTCGAGATGTTCTTTGCTAAAAGGAGAGTGCAAAAATTATCATAACCATTTGAATTCAATCAAAATTGATTGATTCAACCGGTTCCACTCAAGTTTTATTCGATTCTAGATATTGAAATCGAGAAACAAACTGATTACAATATTATTCTCTATTCTGATACCTTAAAAAAAAACCCTCAATTTAACCAGAAATATTTACTTTTTATTCTAAAAAGTGGGTTGGTGTGTAATGCATCAACCATTTTACTTTTCTTCTGAGTCTCATCATAAGGCTTCAATTCATATACAATCCGCCATGATGTTTATAAATTCAGACAAATATTTGTTAAATTGCATAGATATAATTTTAAATTAATAAGATGCTTACCTTCATTTTTTTATCATTTTCAATTTAATATTTTCGACCCCTCAAATAAAAAAAATAGTAATAAAATTGAAACATGCTTTTCAAGAACCATTTGAACCAATCGATCAATTGATTTAATTGTCGTATTTAGTTAAACTTAAAAATTCAAATAATTATTATCAAAATAAATCATTTTAAATAATAGACTATGAAGAATTTAGATAATTAAACAATTATAACTTAAAATCTTATTCAGTTAGATACTCCATTGATATCGATTATTAAATTCGTGACTTGATTGAAGAAATCGAATTGGATTAATTTAAATTCCATACTTAGAAGAAATGAGAAATCAATAATTCTATTTCTGCCTTCTGAGAAATCAATAATTCTATTTCTGCCTTCCACTCATTCTCTGCTGTTACTTTCATCCACAGTAATTTTTTATTTTTTATTTTTCTTGGAAAAGACTCTCCCCCACCAACGTCGCCCACGATAACGGCAATGATATCATATTCTTTCTCTATCTCTCTCAGCCTTCATTACGATTTAAGACAGCACAACTATTTTTTTTCTGAAAACAACTACAACTGCCCATCTCTTTGAAGAGCACAAGCAACAATATGTACATACACATACACAGTGGAGTACTTGTGAACTTACGTAACTGAAATGCACAAATATGGACATAAGTACGTATACGGTTAAAATTATCAATATCTAGCAAAATAAACGATTATTTGATACCTAGCTTTCTTGCATTCACGATTGAATCAACATGAATTAGAAGGATTCTATATGAATTACTCCACTCATTGGAAATAAAAGAAATCTTGTTAGACAATTTTACATTTTCAATCCAACACTATGTGAGTATCACGAGCTCATTTCATGTTAAATAAATATTTTTTTGTTAGTGACATTAGTGTCACAATTTTATTTTTAAAGAGCATCTTATTCACAATAAATAATATAATTAAACCCATGCTAGGCCACCATTCTTTTAAAAACTCATTTTCAATAACATATTTTAACGTAAAATAATTTAGACACAAACCCTAAAAAATAAGGAAAATTTTTGTGTTGACGTACAAAAATATTTTATGGGATAATACGTGGTTGAAAATGGATCTTGAAAAAATGGGGGCAATATAAGCTTATGATGTTCTTCATCATGAATAAGATGCTCTAAAAATAAAATTTAAGAGATTTTTTTAAAATATATTCTAACAAACTCTTTATTTTAGTTTTTTCAATAATCATTTAATAACTCCCTTTATTTTTCAATTAATATATATTTTCTTAAACGTCAATAGCTAAATTATTCAATATAATTTCTTGAAACTGGCAATATTATTAAATGCAATAATGATGAAATACAAATATTTAGTTCTGCTATCCAAATATCGAACGTTATACACACAATCTATTTTAAAAAGTTAAATTGAATGATCTCTTGGAGTCTAATTTCAATATTTTCCTATTTAAAATAAAGAATTTTTAATTTTTATAACGATATTTCTTTTATGTTTACTTCTAAACTACTTTCACGTATATGTTAACGGGTTATTTGACTAAGTTTTTGATTAAGGAAAAAAAAAAACTAATCGGTTTTAGTAAGTTGATATAATGTGTGATTAAAAGTTGACAAATATTGTGAATTTCATAAAATAAAACTTGATTAGTTAATTATAAAACTTTAGAAAAAAAAATTATTCCGCAAGCACTAAATGAGTAGAAGAATATTGTTACGGTTCTATCCATTCATTTCGATTAATAATTTGCGGTTATTGAATAAAAGATCTCGAATGCATAATGTCTCTATTTATTTCTCCCTACTTCTTTTCTTTTCGGTCCTACCTTCTCTCGCCACGTGTGACTTGAAAGGGACTCCGTCTCCAAGTTGGCAAACAATTTTGTAGTTTTCATTCTTGTTAGTATCGCAAGAGTTGAATCAATCGTCACTTCTTATTAGGGTGAATGTAGTCCGATTTGGCAGTTTGTAATATATTTTTAACTTATAGCATTTCATGCGATTTGGAAAATTTTCAAATCAAATCAAATCATTTTATTTTTCGAACCAAATCATAATTTGCGATTTGTTCAATTTTAATCTACAGTATACCCCCAGATATTATAGTAATATATTTAACATAAGTTAACATATAAGTTTAAATGAGAACTAATAATGTTAAATGTGAAATTATATTTATATTTACCATGAAACTCATAAATAAATTATTTTCGAAGTTGGTTGCTAAAAAATATTAATAGAACAAATCATCATTCTTCATTTTTATTTATATTTTCTTGTTTGACTTTCATGTTGTCTCGTAGCGGTTGGAAAATACAGTCATATTCTGCTGTTATAATTTAGTTAAAACTCATTTCATCTTACAGGTGAGATATTAAGAGCCTGTTTGGTATGGATTTTAAGCTAATTAAAATCAATTTTTTGATCATTATTTCATTATTTCAACCGTTATTTTGAAATTTTTCTGTCACATGGAGGACCCACTTTATCTCTGATGGTCAAAAAATTAATTCTCAAAATCACTACCAAACACCATCTAAACAAGGGTTGAACATGACATGTTTAAACATACAAAGATTAATAGGATTTAGGTTTATTGGGAATTAACGAATTTATTCTCTAACTACTTTATACAAGTAGAATGTAGTAGTACTAGTTAGGCAGTTTTAACGTTTTCATACAATCACTACGCCCTGTCTTTCGTTCTTTCCAAACGACAAACAAGTTCATTAATTATCTAAGCACACAAATAGTCTTTTTTTTTCTTTCCTAACCAAAACTCACAAGTGTATAATAAATTCAAAAACAATAAATAAAAGAAAGAACAACGAAAAAATGGCTAAAATGAAAATCCGAGATTTACCAAGAGAGAAGAGAAAATGAGGTGATTAGGTAGAAATTAGTAGACTAATAAACAAAAGGCGATTAACGGTTCGTTTAGTAGTGGCAGCCAAGCGTCAAATGTTTGGGAAAGTAGAGTTTATGTTATGGCTTCTGAAATTTTGGACATGATTTGTTAAAGTAGCTTTGTTGATTTATGATTTGTATATATATATATATATATATATATATATATATTCATTTCATATCATATGATTTGAGAATAATTTTAGTTTAGTTTAAATATCGAGTGAGGACATGTGTTGTGAACTTTTTAAGCCATAGTCCAATAATGATGAACCTAATTTACTTTCTATAATTATTTCAATGGACTAATTGTAATTTATATTGTTAAATTGGTATTTTTCTAAAAAGTGAAAACTGTAAAATTTATAAGTTAATAAAATTAATGTTTTAATAAAAAATTTAAAAATGCTTCGATTCGATTTTTGTGCGATTTTTGAAAATCTAAATCTAAATCAAACCATTTTGAAACGGTAAATGGTTTGGTTTGGTCCGAGTGAAAAAACTACGAGTTCATCCGGACCCGAATCAACGATTTCGATTCGAATGACGGTTTCTTGAATTTATTCTGTACAACCCTACCTCTTATTATGAACGTAGTGAGCTAACTAATAGACTTAAGTCTTAAAAGTACTTTGATAAATTTTAGGTGATGACTTTTATCATTTCTAAATTCTAATAAAAAGGGAAGGAGGGTTTATTATCGATGCAATAGTAAATTAATCCAATTTTATTATGCATGATGTCATTTTTTATTTTTTATTTCATTTATATCAAACAAATGTTCTTCTACACGTCATGTCATTAGCATTAAAAAATAATAATAATTGTAGTAAATATAAACTGTCATGAGCAAAAAAAAAAAATTCTTCACAGATGAGTATAAAAAAAAAAAAAAACCTCTCCGCACATTGTGCTGCTGGCAAACCATGTGCAGAGTAAAAAATAAGGAAAAAACTCTCCGCATAGTGCAGAGTGATGGCAAACCATGTGCGCAGAATTCTCCAACTCTCTGCACAATAATAAAAAAAAATCTCTCCACACAGTGTGGAAAGATAACATTTTGTGCGGACACTGTCTTCACAAAGTGCGGACTCTCCGTACAGTGCAGAGTAAAAAAACAAAAAAAATAATAAATTTGCACAGTGTGAAGAGTTGGCATACTCTCCGTACAGTGTGAAGTTAAAAAAAAACTCTCCGAATAATGACTGTCACGTGTATTGCACGAATATTGCATTTATCATATTTTTATTAGTGTATGAATTTTAGTTTTTTTGAAAGTTTTTGAAGCAATATCTAGAAATATTTCCATGATATAAGAAAATAATTGTAAATTATTTTTATAATTGCATAACAGTATTGTGTCATCTAGAAAAAATATATTTGTATATTTTATACTT